CGGGGGGCTCGCAGCTGGAGCGGGCAGGGCGTCCCCCCACCTCCCGCCTCGCGCTTCCTGGGACGGGATCCAGACCCACCAGGACCGTACATTGGGTAAGCGGTTATGGAGGCAGGTTGGATGGAGTGGGCTCGAGGCCCGTCACAAACACGCTAGTGCAAGGACTTCACGCCGTTTCTTCATGTCGTCCATAAATCTTCTTCCACCCGTCGCCGCGGAGAACGGCGTCAAAACAGAAGCGCTCTCACGCGAGCCTTTTTCCCGGCTGTCAAAAGGTGTGCCAATCATCAGATAATTTCCAGCTATTAATCTGGACCTTGAGGTAGATCCTGCTCTTTTCTCCTCACATATCTGCATATTTCACACTTCACATAAATCTGCATGCGAGGGCTACACTTCACAGTCGTGGTGCCCAGCCGGGACACCGGAGAGCACCCATCTCGCTGATTTTACACGCCGCCGCTGCTCTTCGCATCTCCGGCGGATTAAGGACCCTTGTGGGTTATTCGCGATTGAACTCCTGATTCGCTTCACCCGACGGAAAAGGAGCGACGCCTGGAAGGGGCACAGAGGTAGAGCCATGTTTGATCGGGCCACCGCCACACAAGCACTTTTCATTACAGCGTGACTCTCGCTCTTACAGAACGGACGCTTTGGCTGACAGCTATCAATGGCTAATCATCCAGAAATATTTAATGAGAGGTGCTACTCAAAACTTACGGTGTGCAGCTCTCTGAGGCGAAGGCTGGCGACCACTGCGCACACACACACACACACACACACACACTATCACAGACACACACACACACTGTCACAGACACACACAGGCATGCACATGCACACGCACACACACACACACACACACACACAGGGGTGCCAAAAAGGGGCGAACGCTTGGTTGATTCCTAGGGCCCCTGAATGACAGGGACCCTAAAAATTTTTGAACATAATATTTCAATTGGTCTGGGTTGGGGGCCCAATAGGCTTTCATGGGTCCCAAAATCTCTAGCGGCGCTCCTGCCCACACACCCACGCACAGAGTACCGACAGGGGAACCGAAGACTTAAGATGCAATGGCTTCCACCACCCCGGGCGACAGGCACCTCAGCCACGAGTCAAGAAACCCATTTCAAAGAAAGGCCATTGTCAAGCCCCCACTTTCCCATTCCTTCTACCATTCTGCACTCATCGCGGAAGCAGGTTATCCGGGCCTTTCCACCTGCTCTTGACCGGCTGGGGTTGCCTTACGCCCAAGTGCACTGTGCATTTTTTTTCCGCACTTTATGCACTCCTCTCCCTGTGGAAGAGCTGTTAGGGTCACGTGACCTGCATCCAAGAAAGAAGAGTGTCTGTCACTAAACACCACTGTGAGCTACGCGTCTTTGTGGACACTAGGTATAAACAGGCTTGGGGTATCTGAAGGGGTCGAAATGTAAAAACAGACAAACGAGAGACAGAAAGCACATCTGCAACAAGAGTTTCAGCCAAAACTGAATAGTCGATGCAGGAAGTGAATGAAGATACAAATAGATACTGAATTACTTCACTTCTAATAAGTAGATTTTTGCCATGCAGATACAGGTGGCATAACTAATTTGTGGGGGGCATGATTCTGGTGAACACAGATCCGATTCGTTTGCAATACAATGTTTAACGAGCCAGAACTGAGAGCTTAGAGCCACCTGTTGACCACAGTCCTTTAAGCCCCCTGTCCTTTACAAAAAGCAGTGTTGACCTCCGTATTTAGAATGTATTCAGCAAAAGTCTGTTCTTTTAAAACAATTTAACAGGTACCTTTAATCATCAATAGATTATTTAGGGGAACCGAAAGTGCCAGTCTGGGGGGGTTTATCAGGACTATGTCAGGTGACCTTGTCTTCCCCGCTGACAGGGTCGGCCCCCAGTGTTCCGCCACCCTAAGGAAGATTATTCTAATACTTGTTTAAATAACTGTAATGTCATAGAATGCAACCAGGTATTTCTTCAGATTTTTTTTCTTCCCCCAGTAGCTCTTTTGTGCCCCCTAATCAAATGGTGCCCTAGGCGGTCGCCTATGTTGGGGGGGGGTCGTACCTGGCCAATGGTGTAGCAATGAGGGGCAGCATTAAGTGACAGATGGTGACATACAGCAAATACAGACATAAGGAGAATATAGTACTCAGGATACCCTTACTGTCAGGCAGGGGTGTACTTAGAGATGAATGTGTAGGGTGGGTGAGTATTGGCTTAAGTGTTGAGTCATGACTTAAGCCAAGAAATACACATTTATTTGTGGGGGCTAAGAAATTACATTGCCCATACTGTCAGGTCAAACAAGAGGTAATGTTTGTATAAGGTTCAAAAATTAAATGCTTAAACCCCACATTTGTACTGGCTGCCATCTATTTTGTGAGAATTGTTTTTTCTAGCTGCTTTGTTCGCATACGAACCCACTGGCTAATCACTGCGGATATCGCTGTGGGACAGGAGTGCAAGCAGGCTGTCTAATCGTACTCTGGGTAATGCAACACCACGCCCATTCATCTCATCAACGAGAGTCGCCTCTGATCATCTTCTTCACGGCCCAACGCGGCCCAGCCAGAGGGCGACATCCGAAAGACATTAATGAAGGCTTATGGCGGTCCGTCAGACGGCGGCCATCGGTCGGCATCCTGTCTGAGAGCTTATCTAAGGTCGTCACGGCAGCGGCGGTAGCGTGCCGGCCTCCACGCCGCTTCCCGAGCTCGTTTAGGCGTGCGGAGATGCCCGCGCACGCTGATGGGTCTTCGGTGCTGGAGGACGCATTATGAAGAGGCTAAATCCTCTGTCATGATGGACCGATAATAATGATGTCGGAATGCGCCGCGATAACAGACAGAGCTTCACATTTCAAACAGCTTTAACTAATGTGGTGAATCATTATTTCTAGGCTTAGACAAGAAAATCTGTTGTTACTGTGGCCCTTTGCTTTTGTTTGCGGTAATAAAAGCCCATTTAGAGACAGTTCTAGCTGGACCGCTGCCCAGTACGGCCCATTACAATTACCCAGCGTGCTTCCAAGGGGTAATGAGGTGGGTGTCACAGTGGGTGGGTGTGACGGTTAGAGGCCGCGTTTTCGCAGCGAGTGCGGTCTGTGATTTTGGCACGATTGAAGTGACAGGGACCGACGAATTTAAAAACTCCCCGGAAGAAGCAATGGGACGGAAAAAGAGAGAAACCAGCTTTAACGCAACATGTTTTCACAATCATCGAAGGGGACAAAGGTAGCGCGTTTCAAAGGGCAGTAAATAAAGTTCGTATTGATTTGACCTCACGTGCAATCTGTTTTGCTGTCTGACACCAACTCCAGCAATAAAAGAGAATCATGTAAGACACTGTTACGGATAATACGACCATACATCAGTTGGGGTTTGGGAGACACAGAGACGATATATCATGTTCAAACGAGACTGCTTAGCTACGGAATTTATAAAAACGGACTCAAATTGAAGTCTCCTTCAGTTTCAGTTTTCAATTTACAGATACCGGTTTTCTGAGATTAAAAACAATAATGAATGATTTTATTCTTAGGTTTACCACAGCGACCACCCAGAGACACTGCAAAGGATCTCTCTGAAACTGTAATAACTGACACGGATCCATATCCATTCACTGTTCGTTCGAGCTTTCAGCAGCGGAAATGCATGCAAGCTGTATATTAAAAACACATCAAATATAATATGCATATACAGTATATTAACAGTCTCATTTGACAACGAATTTCAGGGTGCAACAAACTGAAAAGGATTCATTTTTCATAGAACAGACTCACAAGTACAAATGCACACAAGAAGTATTAAGCATTTCAGAATCTAAGGAGTTTATCAATTACACAAAATTTGCGTAGCATCTGAAACTAATACAGGCCTAAGTAAATCAAACCAAATGGAAAATAAAGATTAGGTTACTGAAAACAGGCGCATAATTTTTGAAAAGTAAAATTAATTAATGCAATTAATATAGGAACAAAGAATGTTAATCAATGCACTCAGCATGCGTACAAGTTTGGGGCCGAAAATCCAGACAAAAATGGTACTAGTGCTCCACCTTGTGGTAGAATATTTGTACAACAGCACGGACGCGGCCAAAGGGAGTGTTTCCTCATAGTAAGGAACGGTAAACCAGTCCTCTCACAATTATACAGATATGGGTCGATGGCTGGTGATTAATCCATCCATTTCTTGATTGTAATTCAAGTGTATACTACTCACTAACACACACATTTATTTTTTGAGTTGCAAGCAAGAAGCTAAAATGATTACAAAATTGTTCTCCTTACAAATGAATGCCAATAAGTAGACTCCTTCTCTAAAACCAGAGGTGGCAATTTCAGGTCCAGAAAGCAAAAATCCAGACCATGATTTACTTTCAACCAACCAGTAGAGTACTCCGTGACTGTGACTCTTTATGCTCAACTGGTCTGGATTTTTACTTTCTGGACCTGAAATTGCCACCTCTGTCTAAAACTCGCACAAAAACTGACTATACGGTAGTTCGGAGGCCTCGACGCCACTTTAGTTTAATTTAGGAAGGCATAACTTTTTGGGGAATGACCAAGGTGTATGCATACCAAAGCATATGTATGTTTCTGCATTCAAATCGTACTCTTTACGATGAGAAGTATACGAACATATATAATGAAAGCAAATGCTATAAGTTTTCATATGTATCCATAGATATTCTGATGTCTAGGTACAAACGCCTCCACGCTGGATACTTTTCTGATAATGAATACAAACTTCCAGGCATTTAAAATTCTCTGCATGAATGCGACTTAATTTTCAGCAAATAAGTTAGATCACTATGGAACTGGCATTAAAGTCATTCGCCACCCTTGGTCGATAATGTGCTATTTACTTGAAATATAAGTGTACGGTTAACTCATAACTCCAGCACCTACTTGGGCCAAACGCGCCGCATATTTAATAAAAAGTCCTCCCGGAGCCGTGGCATCTGCGCGCATGCGTACAAGCTCCTCGTACCTTCTCTGCATGCTCCCACCGCACCTGCGGGGCTCCCCACTTGCTACTCAGTCTCTCCCGAAGGCTCCGCTCTCGGGGGACGACGAGGCAGCGGTCGACTGCCAAACCCGGGTACATCAGGGATAATCCTCCGCTGTGGAGCCACAGAAACCTCCCGTCAGGGATCGGAACTAAATCCTCCCCCTTATCGCCTCGTTTCTCCTTACTTTGGCGCGGCGTTTCCTTCACTGCCAGGCGTAATACATATCGGCTAATAACCCAATACAGACAGCTTAAGCTGATTTTAAGATGTACTTCAAAGAAATGGAACTAAAGAAAACATGTACAGCACTGAACATGGTTTGTTCTTTTTAATTACCCGCCGTTGACTCAGTAAAGCACTTCAGCTTTGTAGAATTCCTACTCACTTGTGTGGTTTGAAGTGTGTAGTAACTCTGGGTGGGTTGACCGGGATTCTGCGCCAAATCGTGATTCCAATGCGTCATCATTCCCACACCAGATTTTATTATAATTTTTTTTGTAACTTCTCGCAATAGCATTGAATGGGAAAATCCTTGTCTTTATTTGACAACCCATTAAAGCACTTGGCATAGTAACGCTTTCCCTCTCTGCGAATGGATACTCACTGACAGAAGTCTGCATCAGATTCACTCAAAGTCTCCTCCGCGGATATTCCGCCGCAGACAAGGTGAAAGAGCTCAGAAGCGACAAGGACCGAAACGATCCTCAGCAGGTGCATGGAAATCTGGCAATGAATACACGAGGTCAAGAATATCTTATTATGGGATAGCGCGGCCTTTTTGGAAGACTTTTGCAGATCCACAAATGGTAATACGAAACTGATCATTAATACTAAAATATCTATTCGAACGGATTAGATCAAGTTAACTATTCATAAGCTTATTTTGTGCGTAATGAATATACAACTGTTATGATTTACGGGTATGCCTACTTTGGACTAACATGGAAATAATCGACCGTAATCTTTTTCTGCAAGTCTGACTATGCAATGGTTAGGCCTATCATGTGCATTAACTTACAAATTATACCATTAAATAAAAATAGATCGCTTCTAAAACACATTTTAAAGTCTTCGGATTAATTACTTGAAATTCCCAAAAGCGGTTTAGTCTACTTTTGCAGTAATTACTAATAAATACGTATATTCACCTGCATGTTTCAAGTGACTGAATGTCGGTACGGACTCCCTGGAGCGTCATGTGCCGGACCGAGCAGGAGCAGCTGGAGTTCAGACCCACATTACCGGGCTAATTTTAGAAGGGCGAAGCGACTCTTGGGACTCAGCTTTTCCGCACCCCTAGCTGTTCGCTGTAGTGTCACTGTTCGGTTATGTTGGGGTCGGGGGCAGTACAGAAAATAGATAAATAACTAAAATAAACTGCAGACATACATTTGTATTTATCCATCCACTGTAACTTGACTATCTTTAAGTTAAACTGTAGTTCTAATCACCTCCACAAGTACGAATCAGTAATAAATCGAAACAATTCTGGTTAATTGCTTAATTTTATTTAATAAACAAACATTATTTACACAACTTCATGCTACCGATTTCCAGGTATACACATCATGACAAAAATAGTTTCCCCTACTTTGCAGAGCGGTAAAATAAATTACACAGACAAGTTCAAAGGTCAATATATGTATACTGCTGAGGAAACATTCAAGTTTTGTATTAAATCGTCAACAATACAAGGCGTTTCTGTTAAAATGAAATTACGCAATCGTGATTGTACAGCAGAGATCCCGAGTGCTGCCACAAGCTCCCTTTGGTTTGTGCTTTATTTGCAGCGGTGGTGTTAGCACCTGGACACGTGGAGAGGCGCTCCTGAACGCCTGAGTCATAAACGGAATCCATTGTTATATATTTTATTTTCATTCATCTGTTTGTTTACTTTTTTTTGCACCGTAGCACCTGACATCTATAAGTAAAAGCCTGCGCATTATGGTTTAAATGTAGTCTACTAAAAAGCATTATACCGAAACAATCAGGCTTTAAGTATATACGGTATACGCGGAGTGATTCGGCGATCAGCGTAGATCTAATATCTGTGGAGCGCATATTGTTTCTGAATAGAACGAGAGCTTCCCAACCCTTTACCTGGGGGGCAGAAGCAGATTTTGCTGCTTTTTAACATGAGAATGCTAAAAAAAACACAATTAGCGAAATATAATTAGTTAAATGGAGTGCGTGCGCTCCCCGGTTAAATTAAGCTGCGTATTCAGAGGTCTGCCAGGAACACCGCTGATAACCACTCTACAATAAATATTACTCGGTTCATTGCCAGCAGATATAAAACCGAGTCTGGGTGTTGCTGGTTTCAATTTTATATCGTGCCCAATCTACACCTGAAACACAAGCTCGAGGAATTGTTTCAGGAATTATTAGGAATAACTAGCGTAACAAAGCAATTATGAACCTAACGATTTGGGTTGCTACATGGTATCTTGTTAGCCTACATAACTCTTTTTTTTTCTTTAAAAAAATGCTCCCCCACTAAATCTATTGTAGATGGAACTCTATAGGGTGAGCTAATGTGACAGAAATTAAGCGTGAGGCCCGTAATATCAATCTGCAGGTAAAGAGGAAGTCATTACAGAGGCTACAGTATTTCTAGCAGGTCCAAAACTGAATTTCTCCCTACAGGTGTTTCCACACGCGTGCAAAACAAGTCCGCACGTGTGTCACACAGGCGCGAACGAAACGATGCATATGACGTAGGCCTACACACGTCAAACACGTTACACGTATGCAGTCAACAATGACAATCATAGAGTTACCACACATTAAGGTTAAGGCATGAGGTATTTGTTCTGACAGCAAACATCAGTGAGTAATTAACGGTTCAGTACTGGTACTGAAATAAGTCTGTTCGAACCCCAGTAAATACACGATCACCGTAGAAATGAACTGAGATTCATTTCAGATAACTGAAATCATCTTAAAACCATTTTGTTTTTCATTTATTTAAATTATACATCCGACTGTAATGCTAAGCACGTATTGAAAATATTAACAGTATTACATGAAATTGAAATGTTTTGTTTTTTGTTTGCTTATTTTTAACCGTGTTACGCCGTGATGTGAATCGTCTATCCTGACTGTTCGAATGTCATGAGAAATGCACGTGGGATGCGCTGAAATGCAGACGTATCGTCTGAATTTGGCTGCACTGCAGAGAGCTGGGTGTGCGGAGACCTTCGGCTGCACATGGACGGAAGGCACGCCGCATCTTCAGTCACAACTCACTTGCGATCACGAGATTATAATAAATTTAACCTGATCATAGCTCTTCATTACCAGTCGATTCGTTTAAAGTCACCCGCTAACTGCGTTAAACAAGTCGGGCTCTGTCAAGCTCTGAAAGTACCTTATAGAAATGTTTATCATTACATTAGTTGTTAATGTTAAGCTATATTTCATCCTGGTTAAGCTAAATATTCAGTCAAATTTCATCCCTGCACATGCATCTTACTTTTGATTCCTGACAGGCCAGGCAGAAACATTTCAAGTTAATAATATGTTATTAATACATATAAGCCTATATTTTTTAACTGAACAGAAAACTGAATAGATTAATCTGAAAACTGATAGATTAATCATTTCTCTGTGCAGGATGTGTAGGGATGTGTACTTCCAGTTTAGTGTGCATACACAGTGCAAGAGAGTCTGTCTTACTGGATATAAAAATAAGCCATTTATATATATACATTTTTTTTCTCCATTACAAGCACGTAAAGCTACAATTTTAAACGATCACACCGGAAAACTGGTTGCCTGCAGTTTGTCATTTCCACAGATATACTCCAACAGGCCTCTCACATAAGGGACTTGCCACAGCAACACAGCACTTCATGTTCAATGACATTTTCACTGAAAAATAAGCCATAAGAAAAGAAAATGATGGTGACACAAGTATTGTTTTTTAAATGAACAAATCACCAAGCTGTGAAACAAGGTCAAAACAGTATATTTTCGAAAAGATAAAAAAATAAGGAAACCCGAATGAGAAACACCTAACAGTGATGATAATACTGAGCAGCGCCAGGTTCCCCTCAGGGGTTTCCCCCGCCATGTCCCCCTGACCAAAAGGAGGCTGGCTTGCAGCTTTGTGATGCCTGGCGGCCATCCTCATGTCCAGCCTGCTTCTACGTTCTCTCAGAAGCATTTCCGCCACAGGCGGCTCTATGGGTGCAACAGTGAAGTGCCCCCGTCCCCCCATTCCTACCACCCCATTTCCGCCCAAGCGGTAAGCCCTGCGAGGGAACCAAAAGCAGGAAACGGATGACAAGTTTGTCCCGCAGAGAACATCCATAATCAGGTTCGAGTGCAAAAAGAAAAAGAAACTGCTCTGCGAAGAATATCTTTAAGAAAATACTCAACTGCCTCTATGCAGAAACACAGGTCTGTATTTTTCCTGTGAAATTACAAAGCTTCACTGTTCGTTACTAATGGAAGCCCTTTTCGGGGGAGGCAGCGCACACACACACACACACACGTGTCCCACTTCAGTCCTACATCATCCACAGGCCACTGCCTGGATACACTCGAAACTTGCAGACTATGACGGTTTACTATAATCACGTGACCTGCAAGCTTCCGTGGGGTCCTGCAGGAGCTGTGCTTTCAGCCAATCAGAAAAGGGCTGCCATGTGTTCAGCGTGAAGCCCAGGCACGACCCCGACTCCTGTGGACCAATAAGTTCACTCCGCATATGTATACTGCCATGGCAACTCACACTGACCTGCCATTCATGTGGAATAAAAGCAGTGGGAACGGAGACTTTTTTCTCTCTAAATCAGGTTGCTGGTTGTTTTCCTTGGCTGTATGCAGTACTGCAGCTGTCAAGCAAATGGTTTTTAAATTTAAGTTATTAGTTTCTAATGCACCACCATGCAGAACTCCCTCAGCATTGATTTAGCAGCCTTTAACAGCTCCATCTGGTGACACATGCAGGAACTGCAACAGCAACATATCATACGTGCCTGGATCTACTGCATCTTATCTAAGGGGCATAACATTTTAAAAAGCTGCTTGCTCCTAGACTGAGGTTGAAGCCTTATGTGCTCCAGTAATATCCACTTTTAAAGTGAGGTGATTAAGATTATTGAGAACCCAGGTTATTGAAGGCCCTTCCTGGGCCACTATTTCTCCTCAGAGCTGGTGAGGTCCTTCCTTGCTGTGCATAAGCACAGCCCTGTTGCAGACACTGGATGCTGGCTGCGGATAATGTAGCCCAAAAGGAATCAGTCCATCTGGCCAGCCTCGGTGCAGCTCGCAGAGCACAGTCCGGCCCAGTCGCATGAGCGAAGGGTGGTACCTCTCCAACAGCGACCGATCAGACAACTGCGGAAGAACCAGATGGGGAACTGGAGGAGGGCGAAGACGGAAGGTTCCAGAACAGCCATTTCCGCTTGCACTGCCGCTTCTGATACAAGAAGTCCTCCTTCTCCCTCTCCTTCCGCGCTCGCTGGTAGTGGTCGTCCTCCTTCAGGTACCAGACGGGTGGCCAGCGATGCTTTTCGAAGTACTCTTGGTTTTCTGTAAGAGACATGGCAAGATCGCCGGAATGAGGGCCAAAACAAAAGCCTCATAAGATTTGCCGTGACCCAAGGCCTCACAGGAGAACAGCATTTAGCAGGAATGGGCCCCCCGAGTCCCAGCTGGAGGTAAAGGTACCTGTGGATTTAGCTTTCATGTCCCTGGGAAACTTGCGGCACACGCTGTTGTAGTTGGTGCAGATGTGGTGAAGGCACCAATCAGTGAGCTGATGGGCACGGTGGAACTGCCAGAGGGAAGAGAAGGGCGACTGGTCACATGCAAACCAATGGGACGAGGGAGACGGGGATGACCAGGGGTGGGGCCAAGTCATGTGGCACCTCATTCTGCTTCTGAGTCATTACATAAGCTTTGCTTTCTCTCATCTCCAAGTTCACGGACCCCGAGCCAGATCCCCGACCCGGCCCTCAGCTGTAGCCCCTCTGTGAACCATTACCCACTTGATATGTTCACCCCCCAACCAGATCAAAGGTCACATCCACAGGACCAGCAAGAAAACAGGTGATCAGGACACATTTTGGCTTCAAGGAACATTATGTACGCACACGCGTGAGCGAGGCATTGTGTGCCATTCCCAAAACGTTGCTTAGTTACAGTACAACGTAGCTGGTATGCACAGTATTTTAGATAAGAGCCCATAGCACGGGCTGAGCGCTGACAGTGGGCGCCGAGTGAGTGTGTGGACTCACATAACCGCCACGTCGTGCCAGTTTGGCTCATTATCCAGCAACGCTGCTAGCGGTAGCCCTCAGAGAGCTTTTGGACAGGTGCAGAATCCAGGTAAAGTGGGCGAGGCCTGCGCTCGCGCGTGCGGCGGTGCGTGAGTGCACCCATTACCTGACCGGAGTCATTGGCGGGCCGAGGCCTGCGCTCGCACGTGTGTCAGGTGCCTAAGTGCAACC